TTTTAGCACAAAACATAAACGACCAAAAAAAAAAACCTCACGACAGTAAAGAGTCTGTAGTGTATCAGACAGTAAAAGATTTCTTTCTTTTGCCGAATCAATCCAGCAGTGCTAAAAATTTGCTAATTTTAAAATTATAGAATAATTTGACCAGTGAAAACAGTGAAAATAAAATAATGGTTTACTAGTTAACTACCTAATTTGAAATTTTATTTAAGCTATTGAATTAATTATTTTTTCGCGTTACTTCACTATTACTTTTTGGTCACAATGGGAGATTTACGGAAAAAGACGTGCGATGGCCACGCCATATTTATTAAAAATATACACAATTCACTAATTTCGTGGTCCGCTTGACCAATTAATATATTACAATTAATTAAGGTTTTTAGTTGAGATAAAAAAGTCAGTGGCACGAGCGGGATTCGAACCCACGATCTTCGGCTTGATACGCCGCTGCTCTAACACTTGAGCTATCTTGACCTCGATCCACTCGGACACCACTTCCAATCTCAACCCCACCTTTTGAATTTTCCCTCCTTTTTGCCATTTTTCAAAATTCAAAAGGTGTGTCCGAGTGGATCGAGGTCACGATAGCTCAAGTGGTACAGCAGCGGCGTATCTAGCCGAAGATCGTGGGTTCGAATCCCGCTCGTGCCATTGACTTTTTTATCTCAACTAAAAACCTTAATTAATATACACACAATTTTAAAAAATTTTGTAATGATTTCTGTTAATTTAGAAGAAATCTGGGCATATTTGTAACAAAAAATTAAGAAACGCCTACGGTTTCATTTTATTATAAAAAAGAAATTAATTTGATCTTTTAAACGAAAGAAATTAGATTTAAAAGTACCTTATTTGAGAAAAAATCCTGATTAAAAATGGGAGTATTTCAAATTATGATAACATTTAAAATACTGCTTAGATTTGAACCAAACCGAGCTTAAAAGTTACAGGAAGAATCCAGCTTAAAATCGATACCAAAAATGTGAAAATCCAATAATGAGGAGTTTAGCTAAGAGGGAGTGAAGTTAAACAAACCGACCTGGTTGTTGCGCGGGAGAAAACGCAAAAATGGCAAAAACGTTTGATTGAATATTTTTTACTTTCATCGCCTATAACTCTGCGACACCCACTCGATTTGGCTGAAAAACAATCCCAACCGTCCTTATAGGATTCTCTACTACCCTGCCAAATTGAATTTTTGAAAGAAATCTACCTAAAATTGAACATCAACTTACAGTTTTCTTGATATCAAATCGAGTGATCGAAGTGTCGAACCGGGGGAAAACAAGCCAAAGCGTGACAGTTGAAAGGAAACTGATATAATTTAGGTAAGGTTTATCAAAGGTAACAGATCAAGGTTTTATAATTCTGAAATATAAGCCTCTTCGCTTAATTGAGGCTAAACTAAGATATATTACATATAACATATATCTTCACTTGGCTCCCCCGGGGGGGGGTCCCCTTTTACACCCCCTTGGATCTGCCACTGGGATAGTAAAGAATACAAGAAAACCGCCCAAACAAGGCGCAAAAGCAACCCTACCAGCAACGCAAGGCGATCTTGTAGTATTGCATAACCATATATTTGTAACAAAAAATACAAATTTTAACGATTTTTATTTGTATTAATGAACAAATTTAATAACTTGGAAGGATGATTTGATTTTGTTTAGGGCTCACTAATTGTATTTTTATAACGACCGGGGCTGACGGCTATTTTTATAATTTTCGTAATGATACAGTTGAAAAAATCGTATCGACCCATATCGAAAAATCCATGGCTTAGAATGGTGAATAATTGAGACACAGCAGGAAGACGAGTTTGACACAAAGAAAGAAGAACCCTGTCGAAGTGATTTATCTGATTCTTTAAACTTGGCTGACTCCTGGCTGTCCTTGATTTATATACATCAGTCTGTTCGTTCAACTGTCTTTCTTAATTAGTGCGTTGAAATACTTATGTACCTGCACGTGCTAAATAACTTCTACATAACAAAAACATTGTTTACAGGTTAAGTCAACTTGATTAGACACATATATTTTATTTGTTTTCGTTACAAAAGCAAAGCCTCCTAATAAGTAGTAAAAAGTCACACAAATAAATTCATATCTTACTTAATAGAGGCAAAGTGCAAAAAAGAGTAAAAGTAAGTAATTACAAAACACTTTTTTCTTTAAATTCCTTGAAGGTTGCCCCCAAGAATTATAATAGCTGGCAGGTACCTGTCGACCCAATTTAATTTAGCATCTTCTAGGTACACATCATTACTCATGAGTCATGAGAAAAGGCTCCTTGTTTATATTGAGCCAAGAATCCGTTCCTTTAGTAATTGAACTGAAACACATTGCAGAGATAATAGAAAGATTTTCTTTAGGTGTAAATTTTTTATTATTTTTGTTTTTTAAATAGCCCCTAAGAAAATAATCCAGTGGACTTAAACGGTATAATCCAAATAGACAAGCTGAATTACGTTAAGTTGGGCTGGGCTAAGTTAGGTTAGATTAGGAATGGTTAGGTTATGCTAGGTTAGGGTTTACTATCGGCATAAAACTTTCATTATTTTTATTTTTCAAATATCCCCAAAGAAAATAGTCCAGTGGCTTAAGTAGTATATAAACCGAATAGAAAATCTAAGTTAGGATAAGTTGGATTAGGTTTAGATTTAGGTTATTAGCATTGTGTAGGGCATAAAATTTTCATTATTTTTATTTTTCAAATATCCCCAAAGAAAATAGTCCAGTGGCTTAAGTAGTATATAAACCGAATAGAAAATCTAAGTTAGGATAAGTTGGATTAGGTTTAGGTTTAGGTTATTAGCATTGTGTAGGGCACAACATTTCCATTATTTTTATTTTTTTATTCAAGTAGGCTAAAGTAGAAAACCATATAGAAAAGCTAAGTTAGGTTATGGAAGGAATGGCTAGGTTTATCAGTGTTAGGTTGTTATTAGGGGTTAGTTTAGGATACGCTAAGGGCGTAAAATAATCACTATTTTCATTTTTTTAAACAAACTCAAAGAGAATAGCCCAGTACGCTTATGTAGTATTAACCAAATAGTAAAGATAAGTTTTAGGAATGATTAGGTTAAGTAAGGTTAGGGTTAGTTTAGGCTTTCTATGAGCGTAAACTAATCATTTTTAAACAATGAAAATATAGTCCCTACTCACAGTAAGAGTTAGGACTATACAGTTAGTAGGAACTATCTTTTTAAAAGTATTGAACACCGCACTCACTCCACCATTCATCATTTCTATCAATGAAAATAGTCCAGTAGGCTTAAGACAGTAAAGCTAAGTTGGGTTGGGTTAGGTTAGAAGCGGTTAGGTTAAGTGGGTTTAGGATTAGGTTAGTGTTTTGTATGGGCACAATATTTTCAATATTTTTATTTTTTACAAACCAAAAAAAATCCAGTGAACTTAAGCAATATAAACTAAATAGAAAAGATAAGGTACGTTAAGTTGGGCTTGGTTAGGTTAGGATTTAGGTTCGGTAGGTTTAGGAATAGGTTATGTTTTACATGGGTATAACATTTTCAGCTTCACCCCCCTTGCAACTAAGGATTGGGAAGAGTCTGTTGGAGTCTACTTGGTGCACCCACTGCACTGTCTCGGGAATTGGATTGAGAAAGGGCATGGCGAGGCCCAAGCTCACCTTTGCAGGATACACCTAAGCTGTACACGATCTACCGCTCATTATTACCGTGGTCCTTAATCATTAAGGTACGGCTCCTTTGGAGATGAGAATGCTCGTTCAGGCGCCGAACAAGTCGAACGTCCTCCTGACCACCCCCATCTCAAAGGAATGTTCCACCCGAGGAACCAAGGAAAAATTTGTTGAGATGTACTTGTCCCAGCAAACATCCCTAAATAACCTCCTCGTTCACAATCACCCTCCTCCGTAGGCTTAAGTAGTATAACCGAAAAAGTAAAGCTAAGTTTTAGGAATGATTAGTTTATGGTTTTCTATGGGCTTAAAATTGTCATTATTTTTTAAACACACCTAAAGAAAATGTTCAAGTGCAGCTTAATTCTGGTGATCATGCTAGCCAAAAATTTAAACCTCTTTAATTCTTTGTCCGAGTGAGGCAAGAGATCTCGAACAGTAAGGACGTGTTTATCACAGCTCATCTAAACAACTTATTTCAAGAGTTATTTGAGTCGGATTCGCCCAAAAACGAGGACACAGTGAGTCGTGTTCCTCGTGCAAATCATCGTCAAGTTTCGAGAAATTTCTGCAAGGAACTTGACAATAACGAGTGAGTGAATTTTACTAAATTAATAGGAAAGCGGACGNAAAAAAAAAAAATTCTTTGTCCAGCTCGAGTAATTTTGGAGTAAACCAAGTGTACTAGTAATTTGACAACTTGTATTTAACTCTTTTTTTTAAATTTAGCTGTTACTTGTGAACATACTATTTCCTTATTTAAAGATATTTACGTAGTATCGTGTTCATGTTATGATTGTGTTTTTATAAACTTTAAAATTCCTTTCTCCTCGATGAGTTACGTTGTTTGTTAAATGTTTTACAGTTTATTTCCTCGTTTTTGTTTACGCTGTATTTCACCTTGTCTAAATCGAGGTGAATTCCAGTTTAACAGTGTACGGCAAAACACGAAAATTCAAGTTTTAATAAAGCATGTTTGCTTTGAACAAACGCACCGGTGAAAGAAGAATCGCCTGGGCTATTCACTGTGGTCAGGGTGACGGATAAAATCCGTTTTCTAATTTTAAACTAAAAATAGAGTGTTGTAACTACTGACGAGATTTGATTGCTATATTGCTAATTTTATTTTAATAAGTTTTTGAGTTTTTTTTTATAGGCCTATGTCAATAATATTTGAAATTTTGTTTGTGTATCTGGGATTTGATATATTAACTTTGCTATGCGTGAAATTATTTAAATTTATCGTATATGATAAAATAAATCTTGGATTGTCCCGAGTGGGAGTCGGGCACTCATGCGCCGTTTTCATCTTCACCTCATGGAGGGGATGAAGAAGAGAACATCCCCCTGGATCCAAGTAAAGAAGTCCTCAGAGTTGAACGGTTAACTGTCGACTCCGCATTCCATCAGCAGATCACGTCTTTATTCTGTAAGGGTTTGTGGTGTCTTCTCATATCGTAGAGCCCCTCGGACTAGACAAAGTGGAGTACATCGCCCGGTTCTGCCAGTTTTGATTTTTTTTAAACTCTCTTATTGCAATAGTGTCAAGTCCCAGCGGCTCGACTCCGACCCGCGAATACTGAGTGTTATTCATTTTGAACTTTTACTTTTTAGCCTTTGCTCGTAATCTGCCAGCATGTCTGACGAGGAGTATTCGTAAGTACATCATATTTTATTTGAATAGATGAACCAAATTTGAAACAGTTATTATACGATTCAGCCGTAACGACACTTGATCTCCCAAAACAGTCAACATGAATTTTTCAATTTTCCCTAAAGACAAAAACGTCACCCTTTTGTTATTTTCTTTCGATATATGTCATTTACTTCTCCACCTTAATATAATATATGTATCATTTATATTCTGTCCCTCCTGTAAACGATTCATGCACTTGTCTTCTTTGATCCTTTGTAATGATTCTTTTGGATGGAAATTTCAGGGAATCCGAGGAGGAGACGTGAGTATTTTTTTTTTAAATTAAATTTTCTATAATACTTTTCATTTCATTTTAAACTTAAATTTACAAAAAGCTATGTATATTAAAAAATGAAAACATATGTAATTTGGATTTCATTTTTATTTCAAATTTCAAACTATTAACCCTTTCTTGCCCACTGTTCGGAAAATTTATTTAAGATTTTTTTCTCTTGTGCCGTAAAAGATGAAAAAATGACAAAATTTTGCTAATTCGCGCTTTGGATCCAGGTTGCTGTGGCCGTCCTTGCCTATAAGCCAAGAAAACACTGTATGTTCAGCCCAAAATTAAAACAATTCGGTCTTTTGTTTTTTCATGATTCATATAAAATATATAACATAATTAAAAAAATAATAATTTGCCTGTATAAAAAAATCGAAGCGATTATAAAATAAAACTTGGAGAAGAGCCATGTTGGAGATTAAAGTATCCAAGATGGAGATTAAAGATTCCAAGATGGAGTTTTCCAGATTGGCGCCAAACGTGTCAGTGTTGCCACTCACCCGGTCTAAACTCACGGGATTTCCCTCTAAACCTTTAAAACAAACTCACTAAATTTGGCCAGAAAGGGTTCAAAGATTTTAACTGAAAATGAAATTAATTTAAAAAAAACTTTTGTTTTATAAACCCCGGCGGATAAAGTCAGCCAGAGCCTGAACCTCAAAAGAAGACTGAGTAAGTTGTAAATTATTTAAAGATTTTACGTTTTTTTAAACCATTTTCCGCTTTTCACAGTGCAAATTCTCAAGGTTTGGTAACAGTACTAGCTACATTATATTTAAAAAGAAAAATAGTCCTGTAATAACACAAAGGATTAACGGCTAACAGTAAAAGCGTCCTTCGGTCTTGCCAATTGGTGTGGTACAATAGTTGGCAGCGATCAGAAAGATTAATTTTACAACTACCACCACTAAAAGAGGACTAACACACATACAAATACTAAAACATTTAAAAAAAGAAAGGATATGTATAATATTTTTTAATCTGTCAATAAATGAAATGGCAGAGATTAACTCAAAGCACTCTTGACTACAAATGCATTAATATTTTTTTTTTAAGTTTGTTGACAGAAGGAACCAATGTCGAAAAAATTTAACACGTTAATAAAATGGAAGTTGGATATTCTACAAAGAACAATATTCCGACTCTCAAATTAACATTTTATTAAGTATAAAAAAAAACATGAATGAAAGAGAGAGAGCGAGAGAGTGGATGGGCGTGTGAAGGAAGATAGAGGAAGAGAGAACTAAGCTACTAATAGTGTTAAAAGCTTTGTTTTGTTTCTTCTTTAACCACTTACAACTAGAATTTTAGTTAGCTGCTAAGTAAAAATATTTTAATTTTTTCTATGTTAGTAAGAAATGTTCGGTGCTTTAATTTATCTTTGGCGTAGGACATTTTCCCTCATAGTAGTAAGATTTTCTGGATAATCTTTAAATAAAATTAAAACGCTTAGGAAACCTTAAAGTTTCTTTGTATATATTTGTTTCATATCTGGATAATTCTATCACTTTTCGAAAAAAGTAGATGTTTTACTAATCGCCTTGTATAAAGAACCTTTACGCTTTTTACTTAGTATTTTTGTCCTAGACAAGTTAAAGCACTGAATAAAAAAGAGACAATAAGAAATATATTAATTTAATTCTGTCAAGACTATTATGCATAATAAATCGAGGAGTGTCGGTGGAATGATGCACTTTGCTTAAAATTTTGCTGTTTTTTCATTCTTTTTTTAAATTAGACTTGTTTAAAAGTAAAGAAAAAAATTGGCTTCGTTCTACCGGCTGCAACTCGTGAAGTGAAATAGATTAGTTGATTTTGCCCTTTAAAGGTTAAAAAATAAACTTTTTCTTAATTAGGTGTCAAGCTTTTGAAAAAAGTCTACTTTTCTTAGTTAACATTTTACTTTTCTTTTTTACCCAATTTGAACAAATTATAGATTATTAGAGCTTTCGTTTTTTTTTAGTTTATTATTTTTTTATCTGTACATAAAATTAGAAAATAAAACAAAAAGGGATGGAAAAATAATAATTTGTTCTGAGGGGTTTTATAACACATCACTAATATGTGCTTTCTGTCTCTCTTTATAGGCGTAGACAATCAGAAAAGTAAGTCATATTTTGTTTGTGTGCATGTGAAGCACGTGTGTAAACAAAACTGAATTACTGTCACTTTTCATTTTTTTTTTCTGCTTTTGAAGTACACGCAGAGTCAGTGAATTCGTTGAAACAACGGAAATATACACACATACATTTTCGATTTTCTAAAAAAATAAAATAAAAAAGATAAATAAAAAATGAAAACAACACACTTCCAAACGAGACTTGCCTTTCTCATCCAATAATTCTCTAGTACACATGTAATCGTAGAAGAATATAGATAGTAAATAATAAAATAATATGTTTCACCTCCTGTAATACTATTATTATTATTAACATTATAACAGATTTAAATACTAGAATAGACAAGTCAACATTACAATACGCATTTATGCAAATGCATGATTTGTTATTTTTCTCGTAAATATCCTGTTGTGTGGCTTTGTTGTACTGCTTGATGTGTTGAGTACTTTTGTATATATTTTTTTTACAATCTTTATAACTTTCCTTGTTAATATTTCAAGACTCTTACAAGGTTATATATGGAAATTTTATCTTTATTTTCCTTTTTTTTATTTTAATACAAATATTTACTTAAATTTTTATTTTTAGTTTGAAATAAATTTTCTTTTTTTTATATTCGCAGACCGAAAGGAAATATTAAAGAATTTTATCTTTAAAAAAAATTTTAAATACTTCAGAAATTCCTATTGAAAATAATATTATCTATAAACAATTTACATATTACGAATTATAAAATTTTGTATAATTAGGTTTTTCCTCATGTCAGTAAACCGACAGACTCGACTGATTTGTCTTTTTTGTTATTCTAGGGGAGGCGGCGGTGGTGGTGATGGAGACCCCGAGTTTGTAAAGGTGAGATGAACTTATATTTATTTTGTATACTAACTGAGTGAAATCTATTGCATTAAACTGGATGGGGAATATTTAAAGTAATTCATGTGTTAAAACATAAAATTTAAAATTAAAAAATAAGTGCATCAAATAATTTCTTAGTATAGGCACTTATTTAAACTCTCGTAAGTGGAGTAATGATTTCCATACAAAGTACAATCCGCTTACATTTTTTTAAAAATTTAATTCAAATAAATATTTTGAAATTTACTATTTTTATAATAGGATTACAACAAAGAATTTTTTTCAATATAGTCTCGCATGTGTTTAAAAATATCGAATTAAAAGAACCGCCTGGGTAGAAAAATACATGCCAAAGACTAATATTTAAAGCCAGTTGGCGGCCTTAATTTCTGGCACTGAGTGCGAATCCTGGGGTCGCTTGGGTTATTTTAAATTTGGGTCAGTTATAGTTCGAGTTTAACCCTTGCATTATTATTGTTTTTTTATACATTTATTTCATTACTTATTGTTTTCCAGCGTCAAGAAGCCAAGACATCCGCTCTAGACGAACAGCTCAAGGACTACATCGCGGAATGGAGGAAACAGAGGGCTCGCGAAGAGGACGACCTCAAAAAACTGAAAGAAAAACAAGCCAAGCGCAAAGTGAGTTTTTAACATTATTTTTTTGCCTTTTTAATTCAGTCCTTAAATTAAAAAAAAAAAAAAAAGCACCCTGCAGTTTGCAAAATCCCTTGGTTTTCATGTACTCCTCTTCTTGTAAATCATTCAAGATTTTTTTTTTTAAAGAACTCAGTTAAAACTTTTCAGTTACAAACTTTCCTATGTGACTTCAAGAAAAATTCTAAAACTGAATGCACAAAATCTAATTGTCAGTCAATTTTTACAAGTTTATTATGCTAAAAATCACGAAAAATTTAAACTGATATTTTGCATACTTTTCTGTGGTCTGCTGGGTCAATACTCATTTGTTCCTTATTAGCCTACCCTATCCTTGCTGGGTTTATTTCACTATCTTCAGTGTGTCTCTGACAACTCACAGACCAATCCAGCGAGGACAGACCAAATTCCAAATTAAAGATCAAATTCTATATTTTCAACTAATTTTTTTAAGTTAAATTTTGTTATTTGTTAAAAACAAAAAGCAGACTCACAATTCTGGCTATAAAAAGGAGATAAATGCATAAAATATAAATTATACAAACAAGTAAAAATACGCAACGTATCCCCGATATTTAAGCTACTATTCTGATTCTCGAGATTTAAGTAAACTTAAAAATCAAGTCAATCCTGTCTCATTAATGATTACTTCAATTTTAATCTGTCATAAATGCAATATCTGTGATGCTGGTGATAAACCACAAATTATAACATCCAAAAAATACAAACATACTTACATAGAATAAATTAACTTGTTTAATTCCAAATTTGTAACAATATAAAAATTTCAAATTCGATCGCCTGCAATGAAATGTCTGCAATGTCTATACAAATTAGAAGAATTTAAAAATTAAAATATCAAAAACTAGTATTAACCGAGAATTACTTCTTCAGATTTGATTAATAAAATTTTCTAACTATAAAAATTTTTACAATCAATAATTTTCATTATAAAAAAATTGTACAAAGTTTTCTCATTTTAATAAAGCATAACAATTTTTTTATGAACTAGCAATTTTATATCATATTTATCTGCTTAAAAATGAATATTTCATCTAGAAAAAAAAATAGCCTTTTTTGATTAGAAGTAAAAATTTCTATACATGAAATATACAAAGTAATCAAGACTTAGATCAAATTTAAAACCTGTCTAAGAATCACATATTTACTTATACTATATATTTAATATTGTTAAAACCAAGAAAGCCTAATTAACATAAAACTTTTATATGAAAAGCATTTTTTTACATAGCCTTTTTAATAGCCTGATAATTTAAATTTGGTCTGCCATTCATCTATATTTTCAGGTTTTGATGTTCGTTCAAACTCTTTCCCCGTTTGCACCATCTTCAGTGAGGAACCATTTCCATCTCGCTGTTTATTGCTGAAGATGGTGCAAAGCCCCAGTGTTTTTTTTTTCAAACAAATATTTCGGCAAATTTCTATATGCTAAAATTATAATATGATACAATTGATATGCCCAAATAGCAGTTGTCATAAATATGAGGCCAGACTAACATGAACTAATCAATAAATTTGAAAGACACCCATTGGACTTGTTTATTGCAAAAAATATAAATAAATAAAAATAAATAAATTTTTTGCACCTGTTTGTATAATTATGAATAATAAATTTGAAATGCAAATATTCAAAGAAAATATAAAAATCATTCAATTTTCAAAGGAAGTTGCAATGTAGATTAGCCTATAATGTAGTCTATGCTAGGCCAAACAACCCGGTGTTATTTTTTTCGGGCGTGGGCGAATTGTACAACTAAGGCAGAAAAAAAAAACATAACAACCTTAATTTAAATAACTTGTTGTGTTAAAAAATCAGCCTGAAAATAAAAAGGAAGACAATTAAATGAGTATTGTACGTGAAAAAAATCCAGGTTATGAGAGCAGAAGAAGAAAAGCGCATGGCAGAAAGAAAGAAGCAAGAAGAAGAAAGACGTGTTCGTGAAGCTGAGGAAAAGAAACAGAGGGACATTGAAGAGAAGAGGCGAAGGCTTGAAGAAGCTGAAAAGAAACGCCAAGCCATGATGGCTGCCCTCAAGGTAAATCCAAGTTTAATTTCCAAACTATCTGAATATTTAACCAAGTTTTTCCACTTTTTCAGGATCAAAGCAAACAGAAAGGACCCAATTTCACAATTGCCAAGAAGGATGCAGGTGTAAGTTTCATTGCATTGTTTTAAAAAAAATTCATCTGTGATCTTTCTCATTTTATTTTCATTCAAAAGCAACTCACCATGTCCTCTGCTCAACTTGAACGCAACAAAACCAAGGAGCAGCTTGAGGAAGAAAAACGTATCTCACTCAGCATTAGGATTAAACCTCTTAACATTGAAAACCTAAATGTCGACAAGCTCCGCCAGAAAGCCCTCGAACTTTGGGACTGCATTGTAAAATTGGAAACGGAAAAGTACGATCTGGAAGAAAGGCAAAAGAGGCAAGACTACGATGTACGTACTCGCATTTTACTCTAGGCTGTAAACTTTTCTATTTTACTAATTAAAAATTTCAACTCTAGCTTAAAGAATTGAAAGAAAGGCAAAAGCAACAACTTAGACACAAAGCACTTAAGAAAGGTCTTGACCCTGAGTAAGTATCCAAAAAATTACACATATTTTAATATAGAACATGAAAACTACATTTATTTATCTGTCTTAAAACTCATTTAACTTCATTAACTTTAAAAGTCACATATTTTTTCTAATTATGGTTCAACAGTGAATCAAGGATAACCTAACCTAACCAACTCAACAAAAATCAGTTATGAGACAATTTATGCATCCAACCCACGAACTTATCCATGTTAAAAAAATATCCTAAAGCGAATTGAGTCATGAGACATAAATTTTTTATTATTGAGAACTACAGTAACCAAGTGGTTAGATCTAACTAACCTAACCTAACTCAACCAAAATCAGTTATATGAAAATTTATGCACCCATCCCAAAAACTCCATGTTAAAAAATCCTAAAACAAATTGAGTTATGAGACTTAAATTTTGTAATATTGGGAACTGCAGTGGCCAAATGGTTAGACCTAACTAACCTAACCAAACTAAACCAAAATCAATTATGCAAAAATTTATCCACCCAGCCCCAAAATATATCCATGATAAAAAAATACGTTAAAACAAATTGAGTCATGAGACTTGAAGTTTTTATTATTTGGGACCGGGTGGTCGAGTGTATAGAGCAGCTCATATTTTCCAAACCAGCGGTTCTGGGTTGGAATCCTACCTTTGGAACATTATTTGGTATTAATTTTGAAAAAGTATTGTGAAATAATTTTGTCCTCCACAACACCACACCTTGTTTTATTACTTCTTTTATCTAATATTTGATCTTATTTTCAGAGCTCTCACTGGAAAATACCCAGTAAGTCTTATTTTAGCATATTGAATAAGTTTAATGTAAAAAATAATTTTCTCAAATTTGACAATATTTTTCAGCCTAAAATCCAAGTCGCCTCCAAATATGAAAGGAGAGTCGACACCAGGTCATATGATGACAAAAAGAAATTGTTTGAAGGCGTAAGTTCCACTAATGACATTTCCATTGATTGACATTCCATGGAATTGACATTCCATCCTTTATTATCTGTTTATTATTTTTATAGCATATTTTCTTAAAACAAACAAAATTAGTTAAAGATTCTAAAAGATTTTTTTAAATTAAAACATTCTAACAGTATAAAAACCAGTTTTCATTGTTTTATTATGTATTATCAAAAGAAAAGGCTTTTTCCCGTCAAATTAAGTCAATTTTTCATTAGAGTCAAAAACCAACATTCCTTCTTTGACGCTTCGATTGTAAAGCATAGCTTTTTCTATCAAATTAACTTTTTTTTACTTCAAATTACCCCTTTTTAATTTCAAACCTTCCTTTAAAGTGATTAAAAAACTTAGGAGGCATTAAATATAAGCTCGTAAAGTAAAATTCCTTTATATTTATGACATTTTTTAAATATAAAATAATTGGGTTTTTACTGAAATGATATATGAAAATTATTTACAAATAAAATTAAATAAATATTTTATAGGCCAGTTCTATATTTAAAAAAAAAATCGAACTAATAGAAGAACTGTTTGTATTTTATTTAATTTTACCTATATTACTTTTAATTTTAATAGTAGATAATTTTTATGTGGTATTTTTGATAGAATATATTTTATATATTTTTTTGTTGAATTCACAAATTAAAAGAAGAATCCTTAATTTTATATATAATATTATATCATTTTAAATTTTGATTGTATTTAATTTTCACAATGTATTTTAGATAAGAGCTCAATTATTATATATTTAAATAAAAATTGCAAACATGCTTATATTTCACACCATCTTTTAAGTTTTTTTATTGCTTTAAAGAAAGTTTTGAAATTAAAAAGAGTTCATTTGAAATTAAATAAGGGTTATTTTTTAAATTAAAAAGGGTTAATTTGAAGTAAAAAAAATGGATAATTTGATCGAGAAAAACTATACTTTGTAGTCAACATTTTGAAGAATGAATCTTGGCTGTTTTCTCTACTGAAAAATAGACTTCATAAAAAAAATAATAATAATAAAAAATAAAAAAAATAAATGTTAGTTGTATTTTAATTATTTTTGTTTTTTTAGTCTTTAAGGAAATATGCAATATATTTTGTTTATAATAACAGTTAAAAGAATTTCAGTAAATTGATTGAACATGTCCTTTTGTTAGCTTATAAAATAAAAGGAGAAAACTGGAATAATAAATAGCATTTCCAGCATCATGTTGCTCAATATTTTATTAATGTTTCAAGTGCAATCATTTTATTTTAATGGCGTTATCAGGGTTGGGAAACATTGAGCTCTGAAGAATTAGAGAAAGTATGGAAGGCTAGATCTGAACAGTTTACCAAACGCAAACATGGTGAGTTTCAGGCATGGAGGGAATGCTGTAAATATATCATAGAAAAAAAAAGTTATGCGTAATAAGAGAGTATAGATTAGTATGCATTTAGTGCAGTGCCCCTCGCCCTAGTTTTTTTTGTATATAGTTTTTCATGAGGAATGCGACTGAAGAATATCCTAATTATCCTGATTGTCCTAATATTAAGGGAATGGTATGATTTAGAATCGTTTGTGAGTTTTGAGCATGTTTTTGAACAGGGATTTCTGGAGCAGAATAAGGAGTCACAAGAAAAAATGTGGATGGAAAAGAGCGACCAATTCGGATCCCGCCCTCAAAGTAAGTTTGCAAATGTGTACGAATAATATAGAATCATTATCTATGACTCTTATCTTTTTATAATCCGCATTCACTCAACTGTCAAAAATGAACATTTTGCATATTTTAAAATTTGTTTTTTGTATGAATTAAAAAAAACTGATCATATTTAAAGTTTCATAATTCGTAATCATCTTCACTGAACAACCATCTTTTTTTACCTTATATTTTTAATGTTTGATCATTTTCCCCCAATCTAAAGTTATTGAGAATATTTTAAACAAAACAAATGAAAATTTCTTCATTCTGAAATTTTGTCTTTAATTTTAATTTTTTTCTGCCTATTCTCGCCAGGCTGTCAGACATTTCGCCACCTTCAGTTATAATTATTTATTTAAAATAAAAATTAATGGCTGTATAAGTTTTATTTAAAAAACCTCCCAACCACGTATTCTCCTAAGGAACCATCCTGGTGACGAAAATCCTCAAAAAAATTTTAGAAACCAACTTCAAACACTAATGATAGTAAAAGGCCAAAATGCATCTGACAGACCAACCTGGTGAGGTATAGACAGTTAAAAATATTCAGTAATGACCAAATTTCAAAATTATTTGACTTAAACATTAATTTTTACATATCTAACATAAAACACCATTTCTCTTTTTCTTTTTTTTTTAATTTTATTGCAAAATTTTAATCATTTTAATGGCAGTTCAACATTATTTTATTTCATCCATTATTTTTTATAACTTCTTCACCTTCTTACAATTACAGGTAAAAACAAGCATGGTACTACTTTATATTTTTTGTTTGATTTTCTTTCTTTTCTCTATTTTTTCCCCAAACATCTCAGCCCATGACTCAAGATGTATAAAAAACCTTTGTATATAATGCAAAATCAAAATAGAAAGTTGATTTCTCTTCCATGTTTGTTTTATTTTATATTGATCAATTTTTGACTGTGTGATAAAATAGTTCCTACTAATAAATGCATTAGTTTTGTAAGATTGTAAAAATTTATTTAAAAAGGTATAAACTATCCTGAACAATAATTATTATTGTGTTTATAGTCAAGTTTTTATTAATTTATTATGCAAATTTTTACATTTCAATTTTAATGTCAACTTTTTCTGACAAAAAGAAGCTAACCATCTTTTGCGTTATAGCCAAATTACCCAAATGGTTCGGTGAGCGCCCTGGCAAGAAGAAGGATGCTCCTGAAAGTCCCGAAGAGGAGGAAGTCAAACCTGCCGATGATGATGTAGAACCCGTATACGTGGAAGAAGAGGTCGAAGAAGAAGAGGAGGTCGAAGAGGAAGAGGAAGAAGAAGAGGCCGAAGAGGAAGAAGAAGAGGAAGAGGAAGAAGAGGAAGAATAAATACATCATTATCACTAAGTGTAAGGATTTCTTTAAACTATAAAAATAATGATTTGAAAATATTACCAATTTATTCGTTTCCTAATGTTTTGAGGACGTTGGTTCTAGGTTCAAATCCAAGGAGAGCACATGAAATTTTAATTGATAATAGTATGAAAAAATAAAACAAGTATAGCTCTTTCCATCAAATAAACCCTTTTTAATTTCAAATTAACCTTTTTGTAAAATTTCAAATTAACGCTTTTTAAATTCAAATTAATCATTTTTCCGACAAAGTAAACCATTTTTACTATAAATTTACCTTTTTTATTTCAAATTAGCTGTTTTTAATTTCAAATTAACTCTTTTTAACTTCAAATGTTTTAAGCAAGTTGGTTCTGGGTTCGAATCCCAGGATAGCACATGAAATTTTAACTGAAAATAGTAAAACAAAAAATAAAGCATGTACAGTTTTTTCCATGCAAATTAACCCTTTGTAATTTCAAGTCAATCTTTTCGTTAAATTTCAAATCAACCCTTTTTAATTTCAAATTAACCTTTTTGTAAAAGTTCAAATTAACCCTTTTTAAATTCAAATTAATCATTTTTTACTTTAAATTAAGCCTTGTTTACAATAAATTTACCTTTTTTTAAATTCCAAATTAGCTGTTTTTAATTTAAAATTAACCCTTTTTTTACTTCAAATTTTGAGAAATTTGGTTCTGGGTTCGAATCCAAGGATAGCACATAAAATTTTAACTGATAATAGTAAAACAAAAAATAAAACGTATAGTTTCTTCCATGCAAATTAACCCTTTATAATTTCAAGTCAATCTTTTTGTTAAATTTCAAATCAACCCTTTTTAATTTCAAATTAATCTTTTTGTAAAACTTCAAAGTAGTAACGCTTTTTAATTTCAAATTAACCCATTTTAACTTCAAATTAACCTGTTAGTAAAATTTCAAATTAAGCCATTAAGTCTTAAATTTCAAATTAACCCTTCTTTCCGTCAAATTAACTCTTTTCTACTTCCAAGTAACCTTTTAGTAAAATTTCAAATTAACCCTTTTTTACTTCAAATTAATTTTTTAAATTTCAAATTAGCTGTTTTTAATTTCAAATTAATCCTTTTTTAATTTCAAAGAAACGTAGTTTAACTTCAAATTAACCCTTTCTTTAAAACATTAAAAAATTAGATGGTATGGAAATATATGCATGCAATTCCTGTATATTTGCCATTTTTCATTATTCATTTATTTATTAATATAAAATAATTAGGCTCTTAGCAGGCCATATGAAAATCAATTACAATTTAATTAAAAATTATATAAAATTAATGAAAGATTCTTTCTCCATTTAATTTAAAATTTAGAAACAAATAATTTTTGTATTAATTTGAGATTTTTTAAAATATAAAATAATTCATATAAAATAATTATTTTTAAAAAACCGTCGAATAATCATTTGTTTTTTAAATTTAAGCTTTTAATTTAGTAATTGTAATTAATTTATACAGTTTTTATATAGTTTTACATTTTAATTGTAATTAATTTTCATGTGGTATTTTATATTTATTATAAAAACTCCTTTTTTATTTTTTAAAAATGCGTAAATGTATAAAAAAAAATTTATATGCTACAATTTCATACCATCTACTAAGTTTGTTCTACTGCCTTAAAGAATAGGTTCATTTGAAATTTAAAAAGCTAAATTTGTCATTAAACAAAGATAATTTGAGTTAAAAAGGGTTAATTTGAAATTAAAAAAAAAAAGGTTTGGTTTGAAGTTTAAATGGTTATTATTAAAAAGAAATTAATCAAAAGAAGTAAACTAAGTATTACTAAATATAATGGAATTATTAAAAAGGTTAATGTGAAGTTAAAAAAAGGTTGGTTTGAAATTTAAATGATTATTATTAAAAAGGTTAATGTGAAATTAAAAAAGGTTAATTTGAAATTAAAAATGGTTAAAAAAACAAAAAACAGAATGAAATTTAAAAAAGGTTCATTTGAAGTTAAAAAGGGTTAAATTGAAATTTAAAATGATTAAATTGAAATTAAAAAGAGTTATTTTGAAGTTAAAAATGGTTAGTTTTAAGCGAAAAGTGTTAATGTAACAGAAAAAAAACTGTACAGTGATTCCAACCCCTCGTCCGTGACATCCAACGATTAGTTAAACTCTGTTTTTCTCAACGGCATCAATTGTAATAATAATTTTCAATTGCAGGTTATTGGAAACATCTTTTATGAGTGATTATTGACAGTCCGATACCAAACGTGTACATGATGACCTGCAGTCATGAACCAATCAACCAATGAAGCAATGAAGAGTATCATCCGAAACAGAAAATTTTTACAAATTATTTATTGTCATATTTTAACTTTTCTTTGTAAATGCTATACTCCAATAATAATTTAATAGGTATGATAATTAATTTGTGCTAACAAAATTATATATATTTATGATGATAATTAATCTGTTAACTGAGTCAAATATATAAGGGAGTAAGGTATTAATTTTTTCTTTAATCCTTATTATCATTATGAATTTAATACAGAGCATTTAAATGATCAAAACACTCTATTTCTTTTTCATTGTGTTAAATAGCATGTTAAATTAGTTTGTCTGATTAATAAAATTGATACAATTGCTTATGAATCAGGTTAAACATAAAATACACCCCTAATTCAGAATTTTAGGTCGAAAGTGTACAGGTAATTTTTTACCAAATCGAGAAACACACGTCAACCAAAGCAAGCTTGAATACACCAATGGAAAAATAAAAATTACAAAATGTACAATTTTAGCTCATTAGAAGGCATAATTTCTTATGTAGAGGCTATTTAATTATTGAACTGACAGCAGCGTCAGTCGGTCGGGTTGGTAGAGAAGTTATCAAGAGGGCTTGGTGGCCTCTCCAATTAATAATAGGCTAATAATCAAGTCGATAAATTGACAGCTTGGTAACTGGTAAAGGGAGTGTGACTAGGTTTAAAAGTTAACTGCATTGGAAGCTGAAATGACCTAGTTGTTGACAGCCCATAGAGTCTACATTGATTATGAAAAGAAGGATACTTGGGGATTTGCTAATTGGTCATCTTGGTATCTAGGTTATGAATAAGCCACCCAGTTGGTGAATGAGTTAGTCCATTTCTCCTTTTTTTATCTGTGTATGTAAGATCAAGGAGTTAAATCCAGTATGCTATGGGTACTAATATTTTATGTGTAATTGTTTAATTTTAACATATCGATCATTTTAAACTATTCTTAACTGTACACAATGCTGCAGACTGAACTCAGAAGCAAACAAAATGTTTGACTTTTGCCGGTGTAGTTTAGTCCCGGTTTGCTTTAGTTTGTGTGGCACCAGCGTATTTTTTGGGTCAGTTTACAATACAAGCTCATTTTTTTAAAGTGAGTCGGGCAGAATAAATTTTTTGACTGATTAAAAGATTTTATTTATGAAATTATTATCCAAAAAAAAATAAATTCTCATTTTTATGAAAAATTAATGATCGTACAACATATTGTAACTATTTGCACAATTTCACTTTATTTATTAACACTGTAAATATCACACTCGGAGAGGAAGTTTCAAGTCCTTGTATAAAGAAATTTATATAAAAATTTGTTTGAAACTTTTATATATTGCGATAATTAAATACAAGTATATCAGTGGAAATGTCTGCACAGAAAATTAAAATTCACCGATATTCTTCCATTCAAATGTAATCAAGTTGATACTAAATGATGTATTTAACGAATAACATAGTATTTTACTAACATGATGAATACTCGAGTTATTTGTATTTATATAACATTTTTCTTTATTGAAGAATGACAATTCCATACTTTAAATAACTAACTCACTCTTTATGAATAGTACAGTCATAAACAGCAATTTGAAATTTTTATTTTTATTGGAAATATTTTTTTCTTAATGTGCAATAATAAAAAAATATATTAAATCAGCATTTGCTTTTGATTATGCTTAAAAAAATTGTTACGAGACCTTTATAAAAGATATGGAAATTAACTGCAAGGGGTTCGGTGGTTAATAATTTTTCACTTTTTATTATTAAAACAATCATTTATTGAAATATGAAACTAAGCATTACAAATCTTTGTTGGTATCAACTTATGATCAAAGAATTCAAATTAACAATAATCAGACAGTCAACACACATTTTACAAAAGTCTTTTAGATTCCGTAATATAAATCTTATTGATGGCAACAAAAATGTAGGCTAAATATTATAGTAGTTAGAATATAACACTTAAACTGAAGCACACATAAAAATCAATACTGCAGTCTTGTGTGACTTCTTGAATATTGGAACATCCGCCACTCAATCCGTTTTATTTACATTGACTCAATCTTGTTCGTGTCTTTTCACCGAACATTTATATTTACTCTGAGATCACAAACTATATATAATGTATCATTACAAGTTTGGCCCCTATACAAATAATAATAAATAAATAAATCTGCAAGGAATTGTTGGTAATTAATAAAAATGTTTTGTCTACATTTTCCCAAATGTCAATTGTTAACATCAAATACTGATTTATGAATAGGTTTATGTAAATTGGTAATAGTCGTTGTTACCATAGCACATATAAAGGGAATATATTACACAATATAAGTTTACAAATTGTTAGCAATATATACATACACATTTTAAGCAGAAATCATTCATACATTGAAGCTAAAATGGAATGTATAAACATTTATATTATTATTATTACAAGGGTTACATAGAATGTTCATCAATTTCCTAAATGATAATTATCATATTAAAACATATAATAATTTTTTTTAATATTTTGCCTGAAAACATTTATGTGCAAGTATTCTAAATTCACATACAGTTTATTTAATTTTTTACATTTAAAGCTTAAACTAAAAAGTAATGCTTTCATCACAAAAATATTTACAGTCTTATTAAATAGTGTGCCAATAATTTTTTACACATTTCTAATTTTTTTTTTTACAAAAACATTCTTTTTCCAAGTACACAATTTTTAAATTTTTCATTAAAAAAATCGTTTGTTATTGTTAAATGAAAAAAATGGCCTTGTAATAGTTTAAGTAGGAAATAACGAACATCTACCAGTTCCTTGACAATTTGTATGTACATTAAAACACTTAAATATAAGCCATAAAGGCACCACTCAGTTCAATAAAGAGTGTAAGTAGCGTCCATTTTATATAAAGGACCCTGGTTTCCAGTTTTTTTAATTTTTTATTTCAGCAACATAATTAATAAAAACTTGAGAACAAGTTTCTAAATTTTTATGTACATTGAAGTTATTATTTCAATTGCTAACACTGTGGAAACAAAGGTCGGTTCCTTAAACAAATCAAAATAAAGTTCAATATAAAAAAAACCCAAAATTGTTTACTATACAAAGAAAAACCAAAATAGATCAATTTTCAACCACTCATGTTAAGTTGTAATGCCAATTTTTTAAATCTAAACAATTATTTTAAAAATAAAATAAAGCCAATTTGTTTGATGTTGGTTCAGCGATTTTTTTTAAATCTTTCTACAGTATTCAGTCATGAGTAGAAAAATTGTTTATAATTCTAGTTTTTCTTTATTTAGACACAGATATTGGTTTAATGTACATTTTTTAAAATAAAAATCTAAGAGTGCATAAAGCAAGTCTTTCATTTTGTATCGATTCAAAGTAACATTTGATCATATAATGTAGCTTTTAAAATCCAATAAGGCAAATAGATTTATTCTATGAGAACCAATTCTGCACCTGTCTAAAATAATATACAAAAATTGAAAAAAAAAAAAGAAAAAACACCCTATAACACAAAGGTAATTTTGAAATTTAAGTAACGATAACACATTGAATATTGTTTACATAAATAACGATATTATGTATTGGACTAAAAATTTACTAATTTTATAGCTGATTGAGAAATTTCTTTATCAACTTGGTCTGAATTCTGAATTTTTTTTTTACATTCACATATACACATGCACATGTTTTATATATAAATGGATAGTATATAATTATGTACATATAGATTTTTTCCTATACTGTGCATAGTGAAATGACAATCATGTGTTATAAAAATAATTTGTTAGTAGCAATGCTTATCTATTATTTTTGGCTTCAGTATTTTTTATTTTAATTTTTATTTTAATAATAAACTATCCTTGTATTCAAATTTTACAATAATTTCCATTCAATAAGAAATTTGTTTGTATTAAATCAATAAATAATACAGTTCTCATAGTACAATTGGAACAGGTTTTAAATCTACACAGTGAGTCAATAAGGATCGTTTGTTAACCGTTTGTCTATCTTTTCACATGTTGGTAATTGTCGTCTTCGTCTTCGCTAGGGTCTTCCCCGTACATATCTGCCAATTTCCTGAAGCGAGGCCCGAAATTCGAAAGGTAATCAAAATTCAAGTCACCTTCGTCTGTGCCTAAAAGAATTTGGAATTTTTTTTAATAAAAAAGAAATGTCCAATCGTGCTACAAATGAGCCAAACCTGAAGCCAATGATGATAAAGATCCTGTTGAGTTACCATCCCCTCCTTCGTACGCGTAATGTCTCACGTCATCAAATGGATTCGTATCAGGATCGTTGTCGACTGTCTTCTTTTTGCCATCCAAAAATCCAGATATATCAGGAACTTCTTCATTTCCTAAAAACGCTGTAATAATTTACTTAATTTTATACATTTAATTAAATAAATTCCTTTTTTTCTTTAAATTCAGAAAAGGATATTAAAGACCTCCGAACATAAATTTACGCTATGTTTTAAACATTAATTAACGTAGTAATTTTATTTTATTTATTTATTTTTTAAAATTTAAACGAGGGTTCGCAACAGCAGAAGTCATATGTAGAAGAAGAAGAAGAAGAAAAATAACTTTATTCTGGGACTGGTGTCCCCTAAGAATAATTTACATGAAATAAATAAAAGAAGTTCCTTCTATGAAGTTAAAAGTAAAAAAAAAAAAAAGAAAAGAAATCTTGGCACAATGTATACCAATAAGCCAGGACAGAAGAAAAAATTACGAGAATATTATTAAACAAAAATAACAAATGTTAACGTGAGGTCTCTGCTTGGAGGGAGAGGAGGTGATTATACAGGTGGGATTTAAAGGAGGAAAAGGAGGCAGCGTGACGAATAGAAAGGGGAAGGGAGTTCCAGAGTTTAGGAGCTCGGATCAGAAAGGATCTTTCGAAGGTATGGGTTGTATGTTGCGGAAGGATAAGGTCGATTAGGGATGAGCGGGTCTTACGAGTGAGATGTGAGGAGTTGAATTGGAGAGATTGGATGATGTAAGGAGGATGACGAGTGTGGATGGACTGGAAAAGAAAGCAACCTAGGAAATACTGTACACCGAAAGAGGCGTACAACCAGGAAAGTTGGGATTGCAACCCTGACACCCGGGACCCCCGTGCGGTGCCAAACACGAATCTTCGCAACAATTCATAATCCGCTTCAATGCGCATTCCCCCCTCTGAGAGATCACCGTATGCCACACAGCTGTAATCGAGGAAGGGAGGTTTAAGGGAAGATACAAGGAGTTTGCGGGTGGAGAAAGGTAAGAAAAGCCAGGACCGACGACACAGGCTGAGGGAGACAATGGAATGGCGGGAAATTTGGGAAATGTGAGAATGCCAGGAAAGGTTTTGGTCAAAGACTACTCCTAGGTTTTTAACCGAAGAGCAGAAGGGGATGGGATGGTTATTTAGCATGAGAGGTGGGATGCTGGGGAGGGAATTGAGGAGTTGCCTGGAACCGATAATTATGGCGGTGGATTTGGACGGATTGAGGACTAGGGAATTTTTATGGGCCCATTCGTTGATGGAGTTTAGGTCTTTTTGGATCTTGAGAGTGGCCGAGTGAAGATCGGAAGGGTGGAAGGATATGTATAATTGGGAGTCATCGGCATATAGGTGATAGTTACAGGACTGGATGGAGTCGGGCAGATCATAGATATAAATGGAAAAAAGAATAGGAGAGATGCTACAGCCTTGGGGCACCCCAGATTTTAGAGGGAGGGAGGAGGAGGTAAGGCCATTGGGAAGGGAGACAGCTAGGTGGCGATTGGTAAGGTAGGAGTGGAACCAACGGATGGTGCTGGCGGAGAAGGAAAAAGATTCGAGTTTAGAAAGGAGAGAAGAGTGAGGGACAGAATTGAAGGCTTTAGAAAAATCAAGAAGGACAAGTATAGTAACTTTCTGCTGGTCCATTGCTAGTGGAGACCAAGTGGAGGTCACTGGTAATTTTTATTAGTGCTGATTGGGTGGAATAACCTTGGCGGAAGCCAGATTGGAGGGGGTTGAGAAGATGGGACTGTTCAAGGTGCCTGGCGACTTGTGCTTGGACTAATCTTTCTAGGGGCTTGGACAGGTTTGAGAGGATGGAAATGGGACGGTAGTCTGTAGGGGATGGGTTGGGGGTTTTATTGACAGGGTGGACAAGAGCTTTTTGCCAGGCTGTCGGAAAAACAGAGTTTTGGAGTGGGTAGTTATAGATGTGAAGTAGAACAGAACCATCCCTAAGAGTACATACCACTTCTTGGATTGAGGTGATCTTTATGCTTATCACGTATTGGATCTTCTTCGTATATTAAACGCAGGACGTTTAAGTCATACGCGTTCATGTCGCCTTCACCGCCACCTTCATCTTCATAGTTTATAATATTTTCTCTAATATCGTCTGTATCTTTATACAGATCATCTGTTTTCCTTCTGTGCACTACTACAGCCAGAACTAAAACTAAATCAAAAATTGTCAGTTTTTATTTAGAGAATGGGTTATTAAAGTGAATAAGAAAAATCGTTACCTATAAGGATGGCGAGGCACGCCAAGAGAGCAATTAGAAAACTTGTATCTACTCTCAAAGAAATAGCAACAGCGACTCCTGTTGAGCAACCGACATCGGCTTCTTTCGCTAAGCTTGGTCCTCCCAAATTGTATAGCTGAAAAAATAGCGTTACTGAATTAGAAATTAGCAATATACGGTTTTTGAGATTAATTTAGCAATTCAAAGTTATTTGGTAAAGGGGTAGAATTACACTATTAAAAAACCCCTCAGATTGGCTCATATTCCATGCTGCGGCCCGTGCAATCCAATTCCGTATATGAGAGTTGATAAATGAAGAAAAAAAAATGTGCACTGAAACTTTCGCACAGTCAGACAAAAGCTCTTTTAGCTCCAAACTAGTTTGAGAGTGCTTAAATTGCTTAATGGTAGTAAGAGAACACAAGGTGAGGAGGGCTCCAGGACATGAAGGTATAGAAGCTAAAGGCTGACATACTAGCACTGGAAGCACAACTAGGCACACCAGAAAGTGTGCTAAAGAGGAGCTGGAAAAATGACTTGAGAAAGAAAACAAGCACTGGACAAAAGTACCACGTATGAGGTAGCTGTCAAGGCGTGAAGAATATCGTAGGCCTCTATATTTAATTAAGGTTTTTAGTTGAGATAAAAAAGTCAATGGCACGAGCGGGATTCGAACCCACGATCTTTAGCTAGATACGCCACTGCTCTACCACTTGAGCTATCATGACCTCGATCCACTCGGACACCAACTTCCCATCTCAACTCCACGTTTTGAATTTTTCCCTCCTTTTTGCCATTTTTCATTTGAAAGGTGGGGTTGAGATGGGAAGTTGGTGTCCGAGTGGATCGAGGTCACGATAGCTCAAGTGGTAGAGCAGCGGCGTATCAAGCCGAAGATCGTGGGTTCGAATCCCGCCATTGACTTTTTTATCTCAACTAAAAACCTTAATTAATTGTAATAGTACATATTCTTGTAAATGTGAGGCACTACCTCTTCGGTAAGGCAATTCTCACACTGCGGAAAATGCTTAGCAATTTGGGAAAAAGCAAACTTTCCACACATCGCAATGGAAAAAAGTTTGTAGTCCTTATTCTTGCTTAATAAAGGAAAAAATTGAATTGAACAATAAAACCTTTTTGTCATTACTAAAAATACAAAAGGAATTTATCTTGCGTTAAGTAAGTGAAAATTAATAAAACCTTTCCACTTACTCGTGAGTTAAATGTGAAGTTTCGAACACAACCACTGAATCCTTGTTGAGTTGGTCTGTGATTCCATTTAAAATGAGTGTTTAAATAGTCAAAGCTGACGAAAGAACCTCCGACTTGTAGCGGGCCGTTTACATTAAGAAATTCATTGGTACCACTAGGAGGTGTCAAACTTAAACAACCTTGTGTTTTACAGTTGTCAACTTGTAATTCAATATTCTGAAAATTAAAAATGAACATAAGAAATGTTTAATCCATTTTAACACACTATGGCACAAAATAAATTACATTTTTAGACCAAATTATATCAAGTCTGTGAAGTTCTCCGTCATCAAGTTTAATTTCTTTTTGGACTATTCTGACAGTTCCAGTTCCATAATCGACAAGCAAAACAGGAAATCCATCCTTCAGTTCAAGGGACATGAAATCTGAAAAGGGAATATAACGAGTATTAACTTCAATTCAAGTTTTCCAATTTTTTTAGATTTTACCTTGTACATAAAAGTCATCATTTGGTTTTGTGGTGGGGCCGATGTAAAAGATAAGGCCATCTGGTTTTTTTGATCTGATTTCGACAGAAAGATGTGAATCTTCACAAGCTTCCAATGGTGGATACAGCGCGAACCCGTTTCCATTAAAACCAATGCTTACGATTTGACATTGAGGCCCGTCAAAACCTTCAGGGCAAATACATCTAAAACAAAATTACATATAGAAGATATTTTTTATCATTTTCATTTTTTTTTGTCTTTTAAATCTAGATATTTACTCTCTATCATTAATTTGAGTTCCTCCGTTGTGGCACACAATTCTTGGAATACAGCTGCACAACGGATCCACAACCGCTTTAACTCCAACAAACGTTGTCGTATTGGTGTAAATGGGCCAAGGGACATTGCTCTTATTCAAAAAATTTGTGCAAGATTGTTGGCAGTATGCTTTTTCGATCATGCACTCGTCGATGTTTATCATTAAAATGACTACGCCCAGTTCCTTTTCAAGCTAAAAGCAAAATTAAATAGTTAAAAAAATGGAAAAATGCAGACAAAAACGGATCAAAATTACCTCATCGTTATGAGCGCTGACAGCGGCATTGAGTTTTTCAGGGCTGTAATACGGAGATCCATGGGCGGAAAATCTTACATCCAGCAACGTGGCATTCGAGTTATGAGGGGAATTAATAACGGTAAAAATATCAATGTTTTCTTCACTCACGTTTAAGTATTTTGATAAATATTTTCTAAGAATTGCTTGTTTGTTTAATCCATTCTGTAAAAATCAACCAATTATGTGATATTTTTAATTTGTATTAAAATTACTTGACATACATAAAAATAAAAAATAAAAACTTACAGCATTCGGTTCAATAAATTCTTCAGCTGTTATTCCAGCAATTCGAACTGAGCCTGATTTATCAACAGCTTCTTCTGGTATTTCTTTAACTGTCACATTGACTGTCGCAAATACAAAGTGGGCAGGGATTTTTGCACTTTCTTCTTTAACCTAATCATTAAAAATTCTTTGAAGTTTTACGTTTATAAAAGGTTTAAAAAAAAAATATGAAAAATATCACTTACGGAAAATTGAAGGAGATATGATTGATCTGTTGTACCCTGTACCATTGTAATCATGCCGGTTCTAGGGTTCAAATCAAATTTCGAATGAGCTTTATCCACCCAGGAAAACGTTTTATCAGGTAGATCCCAATCATCAGGATCATCTACGTAAACACGGCCGATTTCAGTGTCTGGCGCTTCGCCCTAAAATCAAAACGACCCTTAGCTCAGAACAAACGTAAATTTTTGTGCTTGTTACCTTATAATTATACACAAAGATGCTACTGTGTCCTTCTTTCATCGCATTATCGTTTACGTCACCAATAACAACCGTCAGAGTACTTGTTCCAGTCTTGTTCGGAATACCGCTATCACGGATTTGTATCGGAATACGATATTCTTTTGTCTCTTCTCGATCAAATGATACCAAAGCTCTTAATGTAGTATCTTTAAAAAATAAATAAATAAATAAAACTTAATATAATATATAAACACAAGGTGACTTACCAGTGATACTGAATTTGGTTTTTATGTCAGTACTTGCACTACTTGCAATTGCAAATGTGAAAGGTGGACCATTAGTCGGTCCATCATTATCTTTTGCTCTGAGTTCAGTAATTTTGTCAGGTCCTTGATTTTCTCTCCAAACGACAGGTTGATCCTAAATAAAAATATTAATAATCCATTTCATACCGTTTTATAGATTAAAAAAAAAAATACCATATCTAAATAAGGTTCATTGTCGTTAACGTCTATCAACTTGATAACGACTTCCGTGCTAGACTGCAAACTGGTTGGCCCACCATCCTCATCATTGGCGGAAATGATAACCTGCCATAAATCGAAACCGTTCGGAGGATCTCGATCCAAAGGCTGCAAATTGTAAAATGCAATATTAAAGAAAGAATTTTGAAATTATTTTCACAACGTACCTTGATCAACGACAAGCATCCTTTCTTATCAACTGCAAGCAATTTTTGCTGGTCTTGTTTCACGACATAATACACTATATGTTGGGGTGCGTATCTGTCAGGAATATCAGGATCGTACGCTTCCAGCTAAAAAAATAAAATAAATAAAAAATAAAAATAAATGGCACAAAGTCAAAAATTTCTGTAAAATACTAGTAAAATTATTTCGAAAAAATAAACTCACCTGAGCGATGCATCCAACGAAGACTTCTTCTTCGTTTATTGTTACATTGTTGAATCCTCTTTTGACGAATACGGGCGGATTGTCATTAACATTCTCAATTTTTATTTCAACTGTACAGTAATCTTCATAAGCACCGTCGAAAGCTCTCACTTTCAGAGTGTACTAAACAAACAATAAAATAAATTAAAAATAAAATTCAAACATATAAAAAGCAAGTTGACTAGAGGGTCTTGCATAATTAAAAATTAAAATAAACATACCGATGTTTTTGTTTCATAATCTAATTGGCCAAGAACTCTGATTTTCCCCGTTTTATTTTCTATGAGAAACGCTTTATTTTCATTGCCTTCAACTATGCTGTACGTTACAAGTGAAGCTAAAAATACATTTCAAGTATTAATTTATGATTACATAAAAAAATAAAATAAAATTTCTGATAAATAATACGGAAATACCTGTATCATTGTCAACTGCTTTCACTTCAGTAACTAACGCATTGTTATTTGCATCCTCTGGAATAGCTTCAGCAATGTATATCGTTTGTGTAAAACGAGGAGGATGGTCATTTTTATCCGCTATTTCTATCCTAAAAACTTGTTGACCTGAAATTTAGAAAAAAATAAAATTTGTTAGTCATCGTGTTTTGTTTTTTCTTACTATAATAAAATTATTGACTATTAACCTCTATTTGGCTCTCCTGTTGTGTATAAAGCTGAAGGTGAATTGTCTGTCGCGATGACTTTTACATTGTAAAAGTCTTGTTCTTCCCTGTCAAATGTCTTAAGAGTTGTAATGTTACCAGTGTATAAATCTATTTTAAAGTTTTCTTGGTTGTCTGCAAGCTCGTAGGTGACCTAGAACAGTAACAATAGATTAAACATAAAGCAGAAAACCTAATGATTTTAGTAGATTTAACTTTTTAATTTTTCCCCATATGTCTTGCAGAGTTTGCAAATCAACTGCATAGCCTAGTTCATTTCTAAAAGGTGCTAATAATATTTTTGTTATTGTAAGAATATCTTTTTTATGTATAGTTTAAATGTTAAACTTTTTCGTTGGGTTTCTTTATTTTGTTATATAATTATTATTATTAGTAAAGTAATTCCTGCCATATATAAGGATGTCATGGACGAGACGAGATCAAAACACTTTATAATACATTTTTCATACCATTAACAATTAAAAAGCCTACAGGGATTCAAACCCAGAACTGCTAGTGTTTAATAGCGTTGGATGCCTTAAGCCAGGAACACACTTACCTGATGCTACGCCATGCGACGCTACCCGACGCCTTGCCACGCTTTGGTGGGGTGTGCACATCTATCCGACGCAAGTACACGTCGCGTACAGTCCACAGCGTTTATCACAATAATCACTATCACAATCGCAACGCATCTTTTGTTCTTAATGCACTATTTTGAGCAAAACCTTGTAATAAATTGTTAGTTAAATTTTATGAGCACAACCATCTAATAAATTGTTTGTTAAACTTAATTGTTTTAAATAAAGTTACTCCTAACCATCATAATTAAACAATGTTTATAAAAACTTATGCATTTTTTTATCTGGTTTACATTAAAATAACATGTTGTAATTAATATAACGACAAAATCACATGTACTTAGTTTGAAATAAACTACAAAAAATATGAGTGTCCTGTTCTGCTACCCGGCATTACAAAATGGTGTAATTTTACAAGCAAAACTATGAAATAAATTGTTAATTAAATTTTATGAGCAAAACCGTGTAATAAACTGTTCCAATTTTAGTATATGTACCGCCGAAGCGAATAAATTGTTAGTAAAATTCATTATATCAAAAAATCGTATTTCGGTGTTTTGATTAATTTTCTACTAAACCATTAAAATTAATTTTTAAAATAAAAACTAATTAATTTTTATGGGGGATCGCAGAGCGTTGGGTAGGTTAGCGTGGCATAGCATCGGGTAGATGTGCACGGGGGTAATGCAACCTTATGGAAAATCAGTTTGGATTTGCGTCGGGTAGCGTCGCATGGCGTAGCATCGGGTGTGTTCCTGGCTTTAATAATAATAATAATAATGCTTTATTAAACATAAAAAAAGGAAAAAAGACAATTTAAATTTTAAAGCATTTAAGGCCATGGATCTTGGATCCGTCTGCCGGAGGTCGTTGATTAAACAGTCAAAAACGAAAAATACACAATAAAATAAAATAAAAGTTATAGCCTACGCAATAAAAAGTAAAAAAAAAGGAGTAAAAAAAAGGAGAAACAAAAACTGCCAAAATGCGAAAGAGAACAAAAAAACAGGTTATACAAAAGAAATCAAAAATTAAAGTCATTAATTAATTCATATCTGTAATTCCATACATGCCTTGCGTATCGAATTAAGGGTCGCGAATTTGAGCCACTCAAAAATCGTAACAGGTCAACCCTGGGGAGAGTGAAACATCCGAGATGCAACAACTGAATCTCACCCAGGGTTGAGCACTCCGCCAAGAAGTGGGATACAGTTTCAATAGAGCGCGAATTACATAAAGAACAGATTCCTAATTCCCCTCTGATCCAAACAGCAAGTTTAAGTGCAAAACCTCACTTCTTAGCTTAAATACTGGCTTTAACCATTCACCCACATAAGTCATACTGAAGAAAACCCTGTTAAACAGGAAGTCAACATTTGACTATTATTTGGGTGTTGTGGACAAGTGGTCAAACGACATTACAATACATTTTTCATATGATAATCCATTAAAAAAACCCATGAGCACTGCATTATACCTGATTATGTTGCGTAGTACTGTCAGCGTCAATCGCACGGACTTGCATGACTGGAGTTCCAGGAGGTTCATTTTCTAAAACTACCCCAGTCACTACTTCGGTGAATACTGGAATGTTATCGTTTACATCTTCCAACTGAATGTGTATTGTTGTTTCAGCAGCTAAATTGAATTTGTTCTAAAAAGAAAAAAAAAATTATTTTCCATTACAATGGATAAATAAATAAAAATAAAATACTTGAATTCTTATGGTTAAAGTATATTCGGTTATTGATTCGTAATCCATATGATGAGCTAGTCTAATATGAGCTGTTCTTCCTTCTGACTCAAGACGAAATGTGCTGTGTTTATTTGTTTGTTCAGTTCTTCCAGCGACAAGTTCGAAAACGGGGGCGGCTTCGTCAGTGTTGGAACTATAAAAAAAAATAAATAAATAAATAAAATAAAATTAAAAAAATCTTATTTTTAATGTAAGTGAAAATAAATAAGAAGGTCAAACTTACACGGCAGTGAGTGTAGCAATGTTATATGAAAAATTTCTTAAATTTTCTTTCAAAACTATAGGCGGTGTTGGTAAGCTAGTAAAAGTAGGCGCTTTTTTGTTAGATTCAACCACTACAATTTCTAATTTGATTGTAGTTTCCATTCTCTCCTCGTCCTCAGCTTGGTCCTCTGCTGTGGCTCGGAAATTGAAACGATAACCAGGATTTTTCTGGAAGGAAAAAAAAAGCTCAGTCAAGAAAAAAAGTTGGGGAAAATAATAATAAATAATTACATTAATAGCCTTCTCCAAATGGATCACTCCAGTGTTGGCGTCTATCTTGAAATAATTATCATCGCTTGGAGAAGCTGGTTCCAGCCTGTACACAACAATACTGTTTTTCCCGTCGTCAATATCGGTTGCGGAAATTCGCATCACTTCCTGTTTAACCATTAAATCTTGTGGGACAGATTCTTCATAGTTCTGAAATTAGAAGAAAGTTAATGATTTTTATTTTATTTAAAAATTTTTTTTAAAACATGCAAAGCTTGCAATACTTCTGCAGAAAAACAAAGTGCACAATACTCAGGTTTGTGATATTGGTCATGGAATGATTAAATTCAAGGGATGGTTCTTGCAATAGACAAGAAACACGGAATTGAACTTTTTTATGATTCTTGAAATATTTTCCCCAAAATAGAACAATAATTTTGAAATTTATCTTGGAAAACTATGAATCTGGTAAGGCCTAAACAAATTCCACACTATAAAAATATCAAATAAAACAATGTGCTGTAAGTAAATCTCACGATGCTTCAGGTTTTGCATTGTCAACGATAATTTCAAATGGGAAATACCTTTTGCTTATTTCCTCGGTAGACCTGAGTGAGAAAATGCATTAAAAATACGTCGTACAAACAATTCAGTTGCTTTTCTGATCCACCAAGAAAACCAACATACAACTTGCACTAAACCGTTAGTATAAAGTTTTTCTGTTAACAATCATGTCACTGTTGCAACGATAACATTAAGGTTCCACTAATATCTCTATAAATATGTTAATTTCTGTTAATGTTTACTTACAACTTTATCAAAGACGGGAGCATTATCGTTGGTATCCTGTATTGTTATTTTAATGCTGCAAACTGCATCTAATTGCGGTCTTCCGTTGTCGGTTGCTCTTACTGTCAGACGGACTTCTTTCTCCCTTGTCGGCTCATCACGATCAAAAACCTAAAATTAATCAAATTACAGCAAAATATAATAAAATTTTAAAATTATTTTAAAACAATTTTCACCCTACATGTTTTGTTTGTATAGCTCCTGAATCAGGATCAATCGTGAATTTAAGTCTTTCTCCTGGGGCCGAAACGAAAGAATATGTCAATTTCCCTCCATTGTCGATAGGATCGGAATCAATCGCTGTCACCTAGGAATATAACAAAATTAGTATTATCACCCATAATTTTTAATATAGCGTGTGTCAAATAAACGAACCTGAATAACAGGAGTTCCTGAGGGCAATTCTTCTTTTACCGAAGGCTTCAGGTCAGAACAATTTGGAAATACTGGTTTATGGTTCTCCTGTATTTGGGAATGATGTTTCTAAATTGAAAGCAAAATACATTTAGAGTTTACATTAAATACTAATTGAATATAACAGCATAACAACATACCTGTAAATATAAATCATCAAAGTGTGACGGATTTTTATTACTATTCAAGTGGCGAGAATGCCTAAGTCTTCCAAAACTTTTGTGAGCTCTCCATGCCCATTGGTTATCTGTAAGAATAAAGTATAATTTTAGTTTACTAAAACTTATGAAAAAATCACAATTTTAACAAAATAAGAACAATAGAACAATATATAATAGAATTTAATTCAATGAAGGTTGATTAAGGAAATCAAATTTATCAGGAACAAAAGGCAAAATCTGGCTGATAAACCAAATTACTTCAAAATCTCTAATATATCAACACCCCTGAGTGTGTAATAGAAATCCAGGCTAAAAGTAGGCTCAACTCCTGCTCAAAAAGTTCCTGAAATACAATGGACCATTTGTCATGATACAACTACTGGCAGAAGACCTGTACCACATTACCGGTGTACGTTTTAAATCAGGAGAGATAGGAAAAACAGTTTAATGCAATGAGATTCTAAATGTCCGAAGAAGCTTTGGAGCATATAAATAACACAAACTGATTCACCCCTAACTGTCAAGAAGCCAGGAAAGTTGAAAATTTTAAAATAAGAAAACTATGATTTTTTTTTTTTTTTTTTTATTAACTGCGAGGTCATATAAACACTTGGGGTGCCAGTGTTTTTGAAAAAAAAAAAAAAAAAAAAACATTTTTACGTATGTCGGGTTCCAATGCTGGATTTTACCCACGACCTACAGCGATGAGCCTAGGCAATGCCTAAAACTTCAACACCCCCTAAAACTATGATTTATGCTTTAGAAATTCTGAAATTAGCATCTTAATTATGCATAATTTGATAGTAAAACCACTAATGCTCTTTTTTAATCAAATAATGTATTTTAAGAAATGTAATTATGAATTTATGAAAATAAGAACTAGAAAGACTGGTCGGGTAATAACGATACATGGAACCTAAAACAATCATGATGTTTGAGATAGGGTTAGGATTAGATTTAGGTTAGGTTTTCCCTCCTTTGTCCAAGGAAGGAAAGCCAAAGCCCATTTATGTGTCTGGCATGTAGAAAAAGGTTACGCCGATGTGTTCCATTAATTAAGCACGCCATTCCTTGGTCCCATGCAGTGTGGGTGTAGGAATGACACCTGATATGGGAATTGCTGGGCCTCCTGTTCCAACTTTTGGAGGAAAGAAAGAGATTTTTTTTTATATAGAGCTGGATAGATATTGTGTATATTGAGATGGGTTACGGGCATGTACCCGCAGAGAAAGGTTGCATGATCCAGCCCACTTAACTGAAGGGTGTCATTCTTTAGTTCCATATAGAAAGTGGGTATGAACGCCACCTGGTATTTGATTGAGAATGGCAGTGAATCTTTTCATCTCCTGTTCCAATTTTTGGAGGACTTGTTAGTATATATGAGCGTTTCCTTTTGTGTACATTTAGAGTGAATGTATTTATTAGTGTGAATGTGTAGTGCTACCGTCAGTAAGATTATTTACATAATATATCTAAAGGGAGTGAATCTATCTATGTTTAAAAAGTGCATACATTTGGGGCTGCAGGCTTTTGGCATATTGTACTTTTCCTAATTATTTATCTTGGTATCCTAGGTTATGAACAGGCTTGGGTCCATACACAGAGTGGGTAGGATATGAGAATTGTGCTTTAACACGGTAGAGTGTATTTGGGTCTCGTCCAGATTTGTTAGAAAAAAAGGATGTTTTATTATATATAGTACTTGCTAGATATCTCGTATTGTGTATATTGAGAGTGAATGCATTTATTAGCGTGAATGTGTAGTGTGAGAGCGCCAATGGTAGAATATTGACCACCCTGTCAACCCTCAATTAGATTAGTGACATACTGTATATAAAAGGAGTGTGTCTAGGTTTCAAAATTGTTTGCTTTAAGGGCTGGAATGAAGACAATGATATTAGGAAGCGGGGTGCAGTATATTTTATTATGTATAGAACTTGAGAGATACATTTTTTGTGTTGCTTTTTGTATATTGAGTGAATGCATTTATAAGTGTGCGAGGGCCATTTTTTACGTAAAGGGGGTGTTATATAGTAATTTTTTTTCCAGATTACCTTGACATCCTTGATACAAGTTAGAGGGGCTATAGGAAGAATGTTACTCGATTTGAGAATTGTGGTTTAAACAAGGCCTAGTATATTTGGGTTTTTGTTCCGAGTTTTGGAATAAACAGGGCTGTTTTATTTTTTATAGTACTTAATAGATATCTAGTTTTGTGTACATTTATGTGAACGCATTTGTTATGTAATGAATGAATTTATTAGCGTGAATAGTATGAAAGGTCTGATTGAAGAATATCGACAGCTCTGCTGGATTGATTAGTTTGTGAATCAAAAAGATGTATGCGTTGGGAGCTGAAATGACCTGGCTATAGAGAGCACCTGGAGTCTACGATGATTATGAGGAGGACGATATTAGGATGCAGGGGTTTGGTTTCCCTAAGCTCTGCAGCCTTTTGGCTTACTGCACTTTTCCCATATCCTTAGTTCTGTTCAGTTGAGTCGATCTTTCTTTTAAGAAGTAGGTAATTGACTGTCACTGCTGAATTTTTTTTAACTTGGGTCATCTTGATATGATAGGTTATGTCTCCATTGAGCAATGTTCATTCGAATTTTCGAGTTTCTTGTTCTTCATTGCATAACCTATAAATTCGGTTATCGTTGAATATACCAATTCTCGTTGTCTAGGGTTTTTTTTTTCAGATGCCAGTGACCATTAGTCCAATATTTCTCGCGAGTTTTTACCCTGGCTAGTTGTGTATGACAGTTTTGGCGATGGATCTTTAATCCATGACTTTACGGTATCTGGCACTTTTATGGTTCGCATATTTTTTTTTGTATGTACCCATCAGGGTCTCAGAAGAAGGAGGTTGATGGTTGATCTTGTTACCACGATTCTGGTAGGCTACCTATAAATTCTGGGTAGGCTATAGGCATGAGTAAAGTGTGATGGATATCAAGTACTAGCTGTTGAAGCCCTGAAGCTTAACTGTGATGGCGGGACGGTTAAAACCTAGTTATGACTATGGTCTGCCAAAACCCGAAATAGGTCATTCTTGATTGCTTGAAGGGATAAATCAGGTTTGTGTATTTGCATATGTGTGAGGTGTGAAAGTTAATTTTATTATTTGAACTTTTAAATTTGTCTTTGGGCGACATAAGAAGGGATTATGGTAGTTAATTAGTTTAACCATTGTTTTCGTTTAATAAGAAAATTCGTCTTTATTGGTGTAGCTTAGAGGTAGTAATTTTTTAATGGGCTTTTTACATCCCATGCGAAGGATATGGTTAAAACGATCCCCATAAGTTTACTATACGTGTTTACCCACCTTAAAGAGCAGTAATTTTTATACTGGCAGACAAAACAGCCGCTGAAAAACGTGCATTAAAAAAAATCCAGTAGTTATTCATTAGCTCCCCTCGAACTGTTTCGTCATTATTTGGTTAGATATATGGTGATAGTGTTGCCTTTTACTTTAGATGGATGTACCCGTCGCATGCAACAACGACCGTTCCCTCTCCAATGGTAAATCCCTTCTTTTCCCAAACACGCACTGGCTAACAATCTTTCATTTGTTTACATTATGCCCTCCACCAACCCTCACAATTTATATTCTATGAGCAACTTGTAGGTGAACGATTGGTGGTTGAGGGGGGGCACCATGAATCAAAACCAGTCTTTTTAAAATATTTATATACACGCGAGGGCATGTTATAAATTGTAGATGATGTAAATCATAAAATTAAAACAAATTTTTAAAGTCGTGCTCTCTCAAAAAACAGCAAGGAACGATGGTTTCAGTTCTTGAGGGAATTTAAGCAATGAGGCAGCAGATTTCATAAAAGTGGAGCATTTGAAAAAAAACATGTCCAACGATGCATCCCTTTTGTGGCGTAAACAAGGGAAGAACTGGAATCTTTTGCTAGACTCAACGAATACTGGGAACTTCACTTACGCAGAAACAACCATACGGGAGGAAAAGGAAGAGGAAATTGGAATTAGTTAAATAACACTTTAAAAACACCCGCGTATGAGACCGGCATGTAGAGAAACTTCGATGTGTCCACTTCAATGAACAGTGTTACTACCTTGGCTCCATATAGATAGCATGTAAGCCCACTCGATAGAACTATTGTTTGGGAGTCTTTAGGACCCTGGTTCCTCGGACACCACGTGGGTTCGAATCCCGCTCGTGCCACTGACTTTTTTATCTCAACTGAAAACCTTAATTAATTGTTAAATTATAAACTGGACACCACACAGATGGAGGTTGGTGTCCGAGTGGATCGAGGTCACGATAGCTCTAGTGGTAGAGCAGCGGCGTATCAAGCCGAAGATCGTGGGTTCAAATCCCGCTCGTGCCACTGACTTTTTTATCTCAACTGAAAACCTTAATTAATTGTAAGATATTAATAAGTCAAGCGGACCACGAAACTAGTGAATTTATAATTTAACCCTTTCCTGCTCAAAGTTCTTCAGCGCAACGCCAACTTTAGCAATTTTGTTTAAGGTTAGCGAGAAATTCCGTGGTTTTAGGGGGGTCACTGCTCTGTTTCGTCTCGTGTATTGGCAATACTTACTTATTTGGCGCCAAACTAAACTCTTTAGTAAAATTTGCAGTATTTCCCATTAACTTAAAAAAAAAAAAAAAAAAATAAATAAATAAACTCAAGTCTGTCTTGCTCTAAGACGCTTCGACTCCGGGGAAAAAGCTGAGTTGCAGCATTACAAAGCATAACATAAAATCAATATATTTCAACATTAATAAATAAAATTTACGTCTTCGTTTTGCCGAGGTGAAATGGAGAAGCAGTCCTGTGAATTTCATTTGAAACCAACACATTGTATGACATGTAAATAATTAAATTCAGATTTTACAGTAAAACTTAAATAGAAGAATAATATGCCAGAAGTGTATTATTTCTGAATTTAATAGAACAACGTATGATGTGAAGACGTAGAAAACAATACTTCTCACGCATGTCGGACAAGTTTTATATATTGATTCAACAAGCACTTTCCGACATATTCCCATTTGATTCATAAAATCCATTGACTTTATAACCAGATATATAGGATGATTGAT